TTCACGTAGAAGCTAGGAGTGAGCATGTGACTTGCTCTGATCCATAAAATGTGAGCAGGAAAGACACGTTAATTCTGAGTGGTTAATGCACAATTCATCATACTCTCTTTTACCTCTGTGGTCAAGAGAGCGTTTCCTTCAGCCTCAGAGACTATGATGAGCAGACTCTCCTGGCAACCTATATTAAATACACAGGAGGAAGAAATCAACCTTAGTTGTATCAAGCCTCTGCGATGTGGGAATTGTTTTCCAGTAAAGCTTATCTTAAGCCTCTCCTGATAATCGCAGATTATAAAATCTGTATTTGTTTCACAGAACCAAGATGCCGCCTCCATGTGCATCTGACTATTCTCCCCAAACTCCCATCATATTCCTAATACGTTAAGGTAGTTTTTACCTGAATCCCCCACAATTCTGAGCAGACCATGGTGTGCCCTATGGAACTGTCAACTAAATGGTTAAGGCAAAGTGAAAGTGTTAGCCACTCGATTGTGTTCAACTCTTTGTGACCCTGTGGAGTGTAGTTGGCTAGGTTCCTCTTGTCCATGGAATTCTCCAGGCACTAATACTGGAGTGAGTAGCCATCCCTTCTCTAGGGGATCTTCTCAACCCAGGTCTCCTGCACTGTAGGCAGATTTAGGTATCCTAAAAACAAAATAAAACAAACAAACAAAAAAAACTGAAAGGGAACCCCAACTTCCTTCTTATACCCCCAGGTCCCACCATTCTCGTTTCACTAGAGGATGCTCTTTGTTTGCTTCCATCAGAGAAATCCCTCTCTTTCTTCATACAATGGACCTGAGTTGAGGCCAGTGTCTCCATACTGACACAGAAGAGCGGGAGGCCCACAGCAACCAGACCTCAGTATAGAGTCACACTAACTCCCCAGTTATAGATGGCTACACGTGGGCTACCCCTTGACCTTCATCCAGGATGAAGGTGTTATTACTGTTAACTGCTTGCTTCCCTTACTCAGAGTGGATCTGCTTTTCTCTTGGAACATCCCAAAGAGACTATCCTGGCACCCCCATCTCCTCCCTAATCCTCACCTCTACCTCTGAGCATGGTAGTTTAAGATTTACAGTGATTTGGTTTTCTTCAGACAGATTAAAAAGATGATGTTTTAAAACTGAGACTGCTCAGCTAACCTATATGGATAGTGCAACCCATACCTACAGTGATAGGTATCATATCCAAATTCACATCTCCAAAATGGACACAGGGCTATTTTACACTTATATGGGGGCCTGTACTGGGCATGTGATGTGAAGACCTGTTCTCCGGAAGGAATATGAGATGGACTTAGGAAAGCATGTGTGTGTATGTGTTGGTCACTCAGTCATGTCCAACCCTTTGTGACCCCATGGACTATAGCCCACCAGGCTCCTCTCTCCATGGAATTCCCCAGGAAAGAATACTGGAGTGGGTAGTCATTCTCTTTCCAGGGATCTTCCTGACTCAGGGATCAAACCTGGGTCTCCTGCATTGCACGCAGATTCTTAACCGACTAAGCCACCAAGGAAGCCCTTGGGAAGGTAAGGATGATGTCAAAAATAAGAAGCAATATGTTTAGCAAATCCCTGCCTCAAAGCCCTGCCTTTATTGGTACAGAGATCTGCTAAAAGCTGTTATTTAAAATATCTGCAGATAGTTTGGATCTGTGAATAATTGCTATCTGCACATCTCAAATTCTTTACAGTTTTCTGTTAGACATATCTGCAAAAGGCTATAAATAGTGAAGCAATGTCGCTCACTGTATAATACAGTCTCTCTTGCTTTTATAACTCATCATGAACTTCTATGTAATTTATTTTTTATTGAAGAATTCCAATTAATGGCTTCCTGGTGATTTTAAAGCCTCAAATTATCAGTCTCTGAAAACAAAGCAGAGAACATAATTATCATAAACTGAGAATTTTTCATTTTGAAGCTTATCTGTTTGTGCTAAGTATCTTGTCTGTAAGTAATTAGTGCCTTTATTTTTTTTTTCAGTAAAAATAATGACCATTCTATGCTACACATCCAAATTTTGTTAACTGCTAGATGTACTGTATGTATTATATTTGAAAATGGACCACCTTGGACTAGTTTTAAAGTATTTCATCAAATGATAATAGCAACAACAAAATACATCTGTTTGTCAGAATAAATTATGTGCCATGTATTTAAAAAACCTATTATATCCTTTTGCTTTCTTTCTAAGAATAAAAGCCTCAGAAAAATATGTACTTGCCATTTATTACCAGGGCTGTATAACAAGAAAAGGCTCATTTTATCTTCCATTTATAATTCCTAACTGCTAATCAAATTGATCAGCCAATAGCTTGGTTGTAGAGGGTCTTTCATAGGACCATTTCAAAATGTTTTACTAGAGATAAAACAAAAGTCAATGAAATTAAACCAATTTGAATGACAATGTGAGCCAAACATTCCTTTAAGTATTCTGAGAACTCAAGTTTCCCCTGGTTGTTTTTTTTTTTTTTTTTTAAAGGAAGGTTCTATTGATGAAATAGGAATTGCCACATCTTAAGAGAGACTTAGCTGCTCAGGGAAAATACTGTCCGAGTGTAGTTTGTCCTTTAGGCTAGGAAACTGACTTGATCTAATAATGTTAGGGTCAGTTTCTTCCTCTTAAAAAAAATATTTTCTCAACTTAAAAAACCTGAAAAATACAGACATATATGTTGCAAAGTGTCCATTTATCCACCTTACACACAAAAACTATTCATTTTCCTGCTTTTAATATTTTAGCATGCCTACTCAGTGAAAAAGAAACAGAGGTTTTTTTAAAGGGATGAAATATACATACTTGTGTCTTATCTTTTGTATTATGAGCATTTCCTTATACCAAAAATAGTTTTTCAACATATGACTTTAAATAACTGCATATTTCACAATCTTGCTGTATGTAACACAATTTAACTGCTTCCTTGTGTTAGATATTTATGTCATTTCTAAACTCTTTTCTGTAATAAATAATGGTGCTATGAGTATGTCTGCATGTGATTTTTTGAATATGACTCTTATTATCTTATGATAAAATCTTAAAAGACTATTATCAAGTCACAGGTTTGAAAATTTTAAAGCTCTTTGCTCATATTAAAAATCTGCTGTGTGGAAAGACTGACAATTTATATCCCCACATCACTCAGTGAGCAAAGTCTTTGTGCCCACAGTCATGACCATGGTGAGCAATATAAACCATTGCTTAAGATAAGGCTGACTTAATAAAAATGTGGCATTTTATTTTTTTTTATTAGCATATTTTTGATGGGTTGTAAAAGGTTCAATAAATTTAATGTAATTATATATATATATATATACACACACACACACATACATATATACATACATGCATATATATGCTTACTTATATTTACTTTTACCATGTTACAAAAGCAGACTAGGACTTCTTCTTATCCACCTACAGGAACTTATTATATAGTAAGTATGCCTTTTGTCTTGAATAATTATTGTAAAAATTTTACCTCAGTATGTCATAGGTCTTCCAAATTTGTTTGTATTTGTTATTATTTTTGACATATATATTTTTTAATCCTGTGATTGATTTTATATTAGCAAAGTCTTTTCCCATCAAAAATATGCTAAATATCTACATACATATTCTTTAATGACTTCATATTTCTAAGATAATCTGTTTAAACTATTAATAATTTATTTTAGTGTAAGGTCAGGGGTAATATTCTAATTTCATATTTCCCAATTGTAAAGTGATTTCCCTAACACCATTTATTAATCAACTATTTCCTTCTCTGGAGATTTGTGATATTCTATGTATCACATCTACATTCTCATAGATTTGACTCTGGTTCATGGCTATCTACTTTACTCCATGTATCTATCAGCTATACTATTTTGATTATTTATATTTAGTAGTTAGGTTTCACTATCAAACAGAATTCTTTATTCTTTCTTTATAAAATAATTGTGTATTTTTTACTATTTTAAATGAATTTTACAACTATGTTGTTAATTAAAATAATCTCCTTCTTGAAACTGCACTAATAAAAATAATTTGGGAAGCTAGACATCCTTATAGTAATCAACTTTCCCATCCATGAATAAGTCAAATCTCTACATTAAGTGCTTAATGCCCCTCAGTAAAGCTTTATGCTTTAATTCATATAGTTTCCCCTTTGTACCACCTTCTACAGAACTCCCAGTGTCTAGCAAATCCCTAGCCCAAAGAAATCACACAATAATTATTTTTCTCCTCAAGTAACTAATTTGCAGTTTCAAGCTTGTACTCTACCATTTACAAGCTCTGCAGCCTGAAATGAGTGAGTGAACAACTCAAATTCTGTTTCCTCCACTGTAAAATGGTGAAATAACTGTATCAACCTAACAAAAGTATCATGAGAATTAATGGGATTAACTCATCAACTTAAAACAGCAACTTACATATCTTAAGCCCCAATAAATATTCATGAATACTATGGTTATCTGGGAAGTGTGTTAAGGGAAGAATCAATAAGTTTCAGCCAGAGATGGAAGCATAGGGAAAATGAGGAACTGATCATGAGTCTAAAGTTTTAAGGTAGACTAAAATAGAAAATTTAAAAATAACAACTATTGATTGTGACAAAGAAGTATTTGCTTTTGGATTCTGTAAGAACCAGAACTTGGCTTAGATGCAAGCCCCACACACCTAGGAGAGGGTTGCAATGTTGGGAAAGAGCTTGACGTGACCAGACCCCAGGATGATCCCCAGGCCATAGAAAGCTTTTCCTATAACCATTATCAGTAACAACCCCAAATCAAATGAAAGACACACTACAGAGAAGTATTTCTGGAAGAGGAGAAAACATTAAACTCATCCTCAGCTCAAATATAGACCATATTTACTCCATAAATAAAGTGGGGAATTAAGGAAGTTATCCAAATAACTTATATTTTCTTCCAAAAACAGCACACCACTTGGCCTGCAATGATTTGAAGATATGTATTTAGATATTTGAGCTCAAGTGCTCTAGTTGGATAATAGTTTCCATTCTCCACTTCAGTGTTCACGTAGACCCAGCCATAGTGCCTTTAAAAAGCCAAGGACTAACTTTAGCCACTGGTCCTGCTTTCAATAAAGTCTTATTTTAATAGAAACACTGTGTCTCTCTTCCAAGTCCCCACCTTTTTTAGGCTGTCTGCCAGCTGAAGGCAAGAAGAGAATTCTAGCACATTGTCCCCAAATTCCAGGCAGATCACAAAAATAAACTGTCCCAGAATGTATTCCTTTTAAGAAAAATTGCTTATTCAAGGCTTGCTTTTCTTGTTTGCCTTCCTTCTTCCCTTTCCAAACACTTTTTCTTCTAACATCATGCTGTAAAGTTGCCATCTGTCTCAAACACACACATACACAAAAGGGAAATCCACTTACAATGAAAACTGGAAAGAAGAAAAATAAGTTGGTTACAAGTGGGTGTTCAGCAGCATATGACTTTTCCAACCCAGTGGCCAAATTCTGATTTATCTCCTAGTCAACTATCTCCCAGCTTCGCTATTAAGACAAAAAGCAAAACGAAAACCCATTTTTTTTTTAAATTTACCTTTGCACAATGTCACCAAGGGAACACTTAATTTTTATAATCCTGTGATACGGGGATGGTCAGAAATTAAATTTTATAAACAAGAAAACTGGAAGCCCAGAAAGGTAGGGCACTACTAAAGATCACAGATGAGTTAAGAATTTCCAAGTGTGTTTGAGGATCCCCTGAATTAGAATCACTGGGACGCTTACTCAAGTGCATCTTTTTACAGCAGACATTAGACTGTACCATCCTGCCACTAACAGCCACTCAATAATTGCCCGTTCAGTTAGAATGGAATCCATATTCAGATTCCACCGTCCACACCACAGACCCCAGGATATGTCCCCGTCCTCCCTCAGACCCCACGGCTGCTGCGTGCCCACGCTCTCTTCTTGGCCATCGTTCACCCGCAAGGTGTCCGTGTGTGAGGTCTTTGCTTAACTGTTCTCTCCACTTGGAAGTTTCTTCCCTCTCCTCTCAAAATGGCAGGTTCTTCCCCCCTGTTGGAGCCCCTGAAAAGCCATCTCCTTCCACACCAGCAAATCGAGCCCCAAGCCACCATGTACCTGTTTATCTTCTTTTTATCTTGTTTAGCAATGTCTGAATTTAGCATTCATTTATGATGTGTTCAGTTCCTTCTCCTCTTCCTCAAACACACACTTATGTTTGACTCAAAGCTTCATGAAGGCAATAATCTGTCTTATGGGAAAACGGTGAAAAGCAATTATTCAATAAAATGCAGTTTACTTGGCACCATGTCAGACCTACAGCGTCCCTATCTAGGAACAGCAGCCTAGAAATCTGCATTTTAAACAGTTTTCCAGATGATCCCAAAGCACAGTAATGTTTCACAGCTCAGAAAATTAATCCTTTAGCTAGAGCTTGGCAGACATGCTTGGCTCCTGGTGGTATGCTCTCTTGCGCATCAAGCTACAGTTTTTAAATGGTTAGTCTATTTCAAACAGTGACTTTAGCAGAATAGTTATGCAGAAAGTCATAGGGGTCTTTCACTTAGATGAAGATTAAGTGATACCTTAAACTGCTTTTCTAAAATTCAGTATTTCTGTCTCTGGTTTAGGCTTAGGCTTTGATGGAAAGCCTCAGAACCACTTGTGCAGATTGAGGGAGACAATATTCTACAAGAATCTATGTTCTACAAGAATCTATGTTCTATAAGAATCTATGTTCTATAAGAATCTACATCTACAAAAATCCATGACTCAGTGACGCCTGTGGGAATTTTGACAAATTTATTCATTTCTATGGGTCTCATTTTCCCCATCTGTAAAGTGAGCACGTTGCATTAAGGTTACTTCTACAGTCCCTTTGTGTTCAGATATTTTGTGATGCCAGGTCATTCCAATTAACACGAAAGAGCCCTCGCAGTTGTACTTAGAATTATTAAAGGACTCTGATCAGCCCAGCATTCACGTCATGTGGCCCAGGCCAACTACAGTCACAAACAAGCCCCTGCCTAATGCTTAGCATCTTCTCTTGTGTCAGAAAGACAAGAAAATGTCCCATTCACAGTTAAAAATGCATCTGTGCTCAGTTCATCTGATTCTACTTAGAAATCATAAGGGATATTTTGGTGGGGCACCTGATAGGATGCACAATTGTTCTCTTTGTTAGATAGTCTTAGACTGTTTGTTCAACATCTGCCAATGATTCAAACAAAAAGTCCCTCCAACCTGCATCTTACACACACATACACACACACAAACACACATATTTTGGGAATACCTACTAAAAGGAATCACCAATTATTCTTTTAAAAGGCTCTAAAACCAGAGAGACACAGTACCTGTTTTAACTTAAAAGTAGGGTAGAATAATAAAATCATCCTGGTGTTTGTAAAGGAAAGAGGAAGAGGGCTGTCTCTCTTTGCCAGAATGGGCACTAGGCAGTCTCCGATACTCACTGCCAGGCAATTCTTTAAAACTGGAGCCAGTTGGTATGCAGTGGATGGAGGGGTCTTTGGGCCAAGGTGGGAAGCGGCAGGTTGCTAATGACAGGCGGGAGAGGAAACTGCTGAGTGAGTAAAGGTATGCCTGGGCTATCACAGCCAGAAAGCAGGCAGGAGATATCATTTTGATCATGTATGCCTAGGGGAAGACTGGGCGAAATAGAGGAGTAAAATTCACAGTGAGATAGAATTTTTCTTAACCAAACTTTTAGAACTTTGGTTCTCCATCTTGGTTGAGATTCTGTTTTAGGGTTCAAAACCAACAACACATTCTACCCTACCTAAGATCCATCCACTTAAGAAGGAAAACATAATCACCTGATGCATTACAAATCTACTCACCTCTCAGTGTGACTTTATATTTAAATGAGTTTAGATGATTTATAGGTATGAATACAAACATAAGATGCATGAAGAGTGAATACAGACACACCACCTGACTTCTTAAGCCTCACATGTAAATCAGTCTCTTTAAGTCTCACTTCTCATGTAAATGATGACCAATGGAACTATCAACTGCCTTATATGGGCACTTCTGTTGTCTTTTGATGCCTGAGGATTTGGGCTGGGAAAAAGAGAGGAGGACTTGCCTTAAATTTGATGAGGCCAGAGCAACTAATGAGGACACAGGCCTTATTTGTTCAATAAACAAGCAATGGAGTGGGATGCAGACCTGGACCTCACCTTCCCCAACCTGCAAATGTGTTCTCCTTCATAAAACATTACCCCAGTTGTTGACAGTTAACCACAGCCTAGATAGAGGTTTTCATTAAGTCTTTGTGTACTTTTCAATTTCAACTCACATTGTAGATAGATGTGATCAAGAGCCCATAAATGCTACTTAAAAGGCTGACAGCATCCTCCAACAGTGCAAACTGTTATCCAAGGAAAAATGACTACCAAAGATTTGAAAGAGAATTATCATGCCAATTGGCTAGCAGAATTTTTGTAACTTGCATCAGCTAAGACAAGGAAATCCACTTCTCATTACCAGAAAGTAGATCTCCCCTATTAGTCCCACAGGGTAAACTATTGATGCTTACAATGTGAAAGTTAAAAACTATACAAACATCTTGTAATTTCTTTTCAGGCTATTTTTAGACAAAGTTTTTAAAGGAATTGCCCCACAAACTTGCCCTCACTAACTCACAGGTCCTCTTAAAAACATCTTCAGGTTGAGAGAGGAACATCCAAAGAGCCAGACGGCTCTAATTTCTGACAGTTGTTCTCCATGATGGAGTAATGCCAAGGGTTGGGGGTGGGTGGCAGTGAGAAAAGATGGGTAGTAAATAGATCCAGAATTTTCTAGGAAGACAGTCTAAACAAGGCTCTAGGAAAAGTCACTGAAAATGTCAGCCCAGCCAACAGAGGAAAGGTTCAGAGGGCAGCAAAGGCCTGGCATATACTTTTTCATCTATTCAACCTGACCCTGGGCCCAGCGCATAATCTTTTTTAAGGTTAGTGGTGGGAAGGCTACCGCCTGAATGTTTGCAGAGGTCTCCTAACATCCTCTGCAGAGGAACTTTAAACCTCAGGTACTATTTCAGAGGAAATGGACAAGCACAAAACACAGACAGAAAATTAGCCACAGCAGACCCTGGATCTAAATAAGTTCCACTAGCCTTTCTGAAACCATTTAAAGGCTGAGGGAGGGTGTGTGGGGCGGGGGGAGTGGGGGTTTGTTTTCCCAAACTGGACCATTGTGTGTATGTGTGGACTATTGCCCAAATATTTTAATAGGTATACTACAGAGAGGAGGGAAAATTTTTTTTTAACTATTTAGCTAAGCAATTTAAAAATTCTTTGCAAAATAATAATAATAATAAAAAGACTTTACCAAAATTGCAGCTATAGCAGGTCTGTGAGGGTAACTTAGTAAAATGCTCAGCGGATGCCTGCAAACCTCTAATGGAAAGTTGTGTAAGTAGCTGAGGCCAAAGTAGGCATTAATTACAATGAAAAATCAGTTTAGAGTAGGCCACAACTAAATTGGAAGCTGGTCCTCTAGGTAAAACAAAGAAAGTGAACAGCAGCCTCAGATTTGATTACATGGCAATACAAGAAAAATGTGCTGTATGTTGTCTATTATTAAAGCTGCTTTGGGGCCCTGTGTTGGGTGCCTCAGGGACTTTAATAAAAAATTAGTAATAGGTCTGCTGCCCCAGCTCACTGTGGCTTTTTGGAGTATTTGCGGATTCAGCCCTGGTCCTGCAGTGCAAATTAAGTCATTTCAGACAAGCAGCCTCAGAAAGTGTTATGTGATAGCAAAGTTCAAATACCACACTTTGGCTCTAAAAGGACACAGCCCCCTGCCAGAGGCTGCTTCAGAGTTTCAAAGAAATAATAAAATTCCATCATAAGGAGAAGGTGGGGAAATGAAAAGCTAAAAAAAAAGAAAAAAGAAGCAACTGGTTGCTTTGTGTGTCTTTGATTACCCTTGCCAAATATTAGTCCTGATATGTAAACTATATGAGTGTATAAAATCCTGCCAACAAGTGAGTTAATGGCAGTGAAGGCAACTATTAACCTGGGATTTTTCTTTTTTCTCATCTCACAAATGTTAACTCTATAACTCTTCTTATATTGATGTAGTGATATTAATAATATTGTCTTTATTACTAATATCACCACTGGGTCCATGGCACGACCATATATATGCTAGCCATGAAACATTAACAAAAGTTCACCCTGATTAAGAAATCAAGCCTATAAATCTACATTCTTTCAAAGATGAAAATGTCTGGGCAAATTATTTTCTATAAGACAGTTACATGAGGAGTATATTTCCCAGGTTTTTCTAGGTAAACCATGGACCTGATGACTGCCAGTTGCTATCAGAGACAAACAGCCCCTGGTCTAAGAATCCTGACTCAATAAATTGTGGGTGCTTGAGTAAAGGGTGAGTTTCCAACCTGGACCATTGCCCAAATATATGAATAGGCTTAATAGGGAGCCAGAATACAGAGTTGCTATAAGATATATTTAAGAAGTACATGCCTGTGTGAGCTTAAGTGTGGGTATGGTAATAGAGTCTAGGCCTTTCAATCAGAAAGAAAATGAACTTTTGTCCAAGTAATTTAAAAATTATTTGCCATAGTCATTTTTTTTTAATTTTAATAAATAATGAAAATCCCAATCCATGTCCCTGTGGAATTTCCCTGATCCAGCATCAAACAGTATCTCCTCAGTTTTAGGACTTGAGTAACCTGTTGGTAGAAAGTGCAGTGGCATAATTTGATTGATTTCAAGAGGTTCCAGGAAACCCCAACTGGCCTCAATCACCTTCGTCCCCATCTGATGACCAATACCTGAAATTATCCGAGTTAGATAGCTCCTCCTTTAGTTCTGTTCAAAATTTCCTGCAAAATCATCTTAAGAAGTAAAAGAAATAAATGAACAGAAAACACAGGGAAAGAAGGAGAGCCTAGCTGGACAGGGAATGGGTCTAAGAAGACTGAAAATACACTTTATCAAAGCCATGACTTCTCTAAAGATCATCTCTCAGAGCCTTGGACAGTCTCTATGGAATCACGGGATGGCCATTCTTCTTTAGAGAATAGAAGGAGGGAAATGGAGAAGGTAAACTTCAAATGGGAATGCACCATGAATTCAGTCCGCAGGAATTATACAGACTTAAAAGCAATAAACATGCTCCTCCAATAACTCTTACAAGTATCTGTTGAGCATCTACAAGGTTGACTTTGTTCAAGCTGTTGTGAAATTAGAAATGAAAAATACAATCCCCTTAGTCATCACCCCCAGATCTCAATGGCCAAAATCTCATAAAACTCTGCTCTTCCCAAGCTGTTGAACAAGTAGAACTGAAAAGCAAAGAGAGGGGAAAAGACAATAAAAGTATGGGCAATGCAGAAAAATGGAAAAAGGGCCACAGCTTAAAGTGTACTGAGACTTGATAATATTGACACTCATTCAAACTTATCAACTGGAAGATAACAGGTGGCTTCAGTTCTTCCAGCACTCTGGCTGGGAGTGATCCTATCATATTTATTTTCTGATTATATATTTTTTTTAAAAAATCTAGCGGCAATGATTAATGTTTTGTATTCCAGCAACAACACCTGTTTCAAAACAAACTGCAGTATCATCTTGCACTGATAATGCATTACATCGTCTTAAACATTTTCAAATTAGGGTAC